GGAGGAATAAATATAAGGCCTACTCTGCCTGGGGACTGTCTCTTCAGACTTGGTCTCTTAGGATCATCCACAGGTACCTATACTGTAGATAGGTCTTAGTCATCAGGTCTACTCCACTTCCTTGTTGCCTGCTTAGACTCTTGGCACTCTTAGGTGAGCAGACTTAGTCAGCCTGTGTTGCCCTAACAGCATGTCGATACCTGCACCTACAGGTACTGTACAGTACCTGCTTACATAAGCTAGGGACCAGATGGATAGTGCAAACTTTTCAGTCTGGACTAATGCATCTTGTTTACTGCCATTACCTGCCTACAGAAACATGTCCCAGATGCACAAATAATGTCTCTTGCCTGAAGCATCTCTGCCAATAATATCAATGGATGTGCAGGAGGCATTTGGGGGAGTATGATAATGAACCTATAGGTCCATATTGAAATATGAAAGTCATCTTTCTAACCTTCCCCTTCTCAAACATAAGGTAGTTGAAGCTCTGCTTTACAATGTCCCTCATACTGTGCATGCTCAGTCAGAAGTGGAATGGTGCCAGAAGGAGAGAAGACAACACAACACAGTGTCCAGCCACATGTTTTGTTTGTTCATGCACTGGCTTCATCACTGGACATGGAATAGGGTCTGCTATATAGGACCCTTAGTGCTTATAAATATAATTCAAGCACTTCAGGGGTGGTTTCTCTAAAAGGGCTTAAATGAAGCACTTTTGGATCTGCCCCAGAAGTGCTTTTTTTTAGCTCCATTTGATGCCTTTCCTAATGAGGAGTTTTGGGCCTCAATTAAGCACCCAGAGCACTTGCACAGCCACTAAGGGTCTAACAAGGCACATCAAGCCCAATTTGTCTAAGTCTGTCACTATCACCTTCGCCTCATCTGCCTCTCTCATGTCTACCACCACCTCCTCTCCCTTCCTCTACCACTCCTCCCCTTGTGCTGTGATGTCCCTTCAAGCAACTGTTTCCCTTCCTTCCCTTTGCTGTCCTCCACTTGGAGGACAGCAAATGTGACACCTACACCTGCTGAGAATGACCTATCAGGTGCATATATGCTGTGGTTTAATCAGAGTGTTGCTAGTATGGGACTGGGTGAAGTTCTATGAGGATTTCAAGGAGCTTTGGAGAGGCAGATGAATGCAAATGTGTTGTCTATTACAAGACATCCCCTAGCATTTGTTTGAATTCCCAGCCTAATTGTCTTAGAAGGAGTTCAAGTGCTTTTAAAAATGCTTTTTTGTATTATTATTATTTTTAATAAATTTTGTTAACTATCTATAATATTTACTAATGGGCTGAAATGTTCAATAAAATGCTTTTAAACAGCACCTCTTACCCATGAAACATGGGGTTGCATATCAACCCCAACATAGCACCCTGTGTGCTTGATTGACGGACCTCAGGGGCTAGTCCGGGGTGCTTCGAAGAAGCACTTTTCAATGTTGCAGTGCATCTTTGGTAAAGTATCATATTCCTCTCCGTCTGATGTAGTATCCAGCAGGACAGTGCCTTGCTCCACGATGATCTGGAGTGTCCCGAGCTGTTTAATGGAGAGCTCGCAATTCAAAGCGATTTGCTCGTTGTCTGATAAACTCAGAATCAGCTAACATTTCACTTAAGTCAGAAAGATAAACCTGTGAGATTGATCTTTCCGAACGCATAAAGCTGAACTTCTTCAGCAGAGATTGGAATTCCGATGTCGGCAAAATGCCCCTGATTTGGTTTGATCATCGTCTCCCAAGCATCGCAGCCATCGAGGAAGAGGGACCAGTTGGTTGCGCGATTTTTCTTGTAATCTTTGTAGTGAATGACAAAGTTCTGGTGTCTCGCTCAAAGAAGTCCTTTAGGGGTGGACGAATTGGGAAGGCACATACCTCGGGCTCCTTTGATGGAATCCAGCATCGAATCTCCTTCTCCTTCTCCCTCACATCGACCGCGTTTTTTTTCTCCCACCTCGACCCATGCTTCGTAATTTCCGAGGCGAGGCATTCTGGGACGAGCGACAATGAGCTAAAGATGATTGAGGTACTGGAGAAGGAAGGACTGACGCGCATGGGCACGATCACGCGACGCGTCGTGGCACAAACTTCTAGATGTAATGACTCATGATTGGTGATATGAACAATATACGAGAGAGACATGTAAATAGGAGAAAGGAAGTCTTTGAACTACAAGTCTATGGATCATCATGAAAATACATAGGAACGCTATCATAGTAATCGGGCGTATATGGGCGAGCTATATGCGCCCAGTTTGCAGGTGAGATCGTTACCAGAGGAACACCGTCAAATGATGAATATGGCGTCTATGAACTATGCCTGCATGACCTTGATTCTGCATATATCTTGCTAGGTTGCTCCACGCTCACGCTGGTAGACCGTTATTGATCGTCAAGCGCTGTTTCTTCTGAAGCTTCTGAAGCTTCGTCAGAAGGGACATTCAACCGAATGTATGTGGCAGACCTTCAAAGGCTGAACGTTTCGATCTGCGGATTCAGCGCGCTTATGATCCGATCGGTTGCCTTTCTATCTTCGTCTTTCTCATCATCGCCATCCTCATATTGTCGCGCCTTCCCCTTCACGGATATAACATGTCTCAAACTGAGGCTCCCGACTGCCAGTAAGCCCTTCATACTTCTATTCGAGGAAACGGATTTCTCAGCTACGTTTAGTCAGTTTCACTTTCTTGCAGGTAGGCTGATCACTCACTATGTATATAGCCCCGAGAGATCAACTGTGCTTGAAATAAAAGTCATTATTGAGGCTCTAGCATACTAATACATACTCGGCTTACTCACTTTTAGTACGATAGAAAAATATGAAATAGACGGGTGGAACTCTGGCGGCCTCATCGAACAGGAGGTAGTCATGTTCATCATCAAGGACCATATGGCCCGCCCTAGTACCTTTGTCAGGGGGGGCACAATGAATTAGGACAAATGGCCGTACACCACACGATGATCCACCTTCAGCTTGGTCGCTTTGAGTATGGGAAGCTCGGCGTCTTCATCACGGAGGGTGAAGCCCTTGTGCCTTTCGGGCTCCTTGTCAATCCATTTCCCATTCTTTTATGACAAGACTAATGGTCCCCAGCATATTCAGCTTCTTCGGATCTTGGAGGCACTTGAATTCATCATCTGCTGGGAATGAGCATTTGAATACATGTTTGATTATGTGATGGTGCATACCTGTAAACTCTATTTTCCCAAAACGATACTCCGCATATCCGCCCTCGTTGTTGTCAAATCCCATCGATGCAACAGTGTTGGCTTCTGGATCGAATAGTCGCGAGTCTGCATGCTCTCCGTCTACATAGACCTTGCCACGGCCTGAGCGTAACCCCAGATGATCAGTCCATCTGACAGCAAAGGTCTGAGGTATCCGCGCACAAGACATAAGCAAAGGTCAGGTCCCAAGTATATGTATGCGTACCTTTCCAGCTTTGGATGGGATCCAGCATGTCACGGCCAAGGTGTTCTTCCTCTTCATGGTGTTAATGTGATATTCGGGGAGCGCCTTCCCGTCCATTAGAATGCGAGCTTCGTATCCGGAGAGGGGAACCATTTCAGAGGAAGATCAAGAGGAACGGCTGGGAAGGGGTGTCGTGGGGCAGATGTATGCAAAGGCGCGCAGCTCAAGTCCGTTCAGTTAATAAGGCGCGGAGTCATGACATGTGACACGCGTCTCGAAGACGGCGAAGGTTCTGGATCTTCGCGCCTTAGCACATAATCTCTCCCAACCAACAGCATAGACACTCACAGTAATTTTTCAGAAAATAAGGTCACAGATCCCGCCCGTGAAAAGAAAAGCCACCAACAATGGGATCCCAGCTATTGATTGGCGAATTGGTACGTCTCCACCCGCATATATGCAGCCAACATGAGGTGGAATTGGCCCCGGATACGATAACCCCACTCTCCGTGTCACATCAGGTTCTTCACTCTAAATAGGCGTTTGTGGTTCACGAGGGCTGTCATATACTGTGTTGACATACGCCGACTCTGACGAGACAGAGTCCGCCCTTGTCTTCTCAAGGAAAGACCTATCGCAGTGCCTGTCAAAGATTCTCAGTTTCGGCGGGATCATAGCAGTACTGAGCTACAAAAGAAGCGCTCACTTCATTTTACAGTCTCCGGGCATTTCGTTCTCTCTCATCGCGCCGGCATAGACGTGCTTAGCATGGACTGATGAGTGGCTTTGGCCTGCATCCTGATCGCGTGGACCATGAAGATAGTGCTTTTTGGAAGCAACACTGTATAATTGAATCTGTCAAATACCCGCAAGAAACGTAAAGTGGGACTCTACTTGCCGTGTTGCGTGATTGTGATAACAAACTCTTCCTTGGGTGACTGTGCTGGCACGATGACCCTGTTGCCAAGAGAACAATCGTGACAAATGCGTATCACGATTACAGCATTGTGTGAAAGCCATGCTCTATGAGCTTTCTGATTGAGTGGTACTGATTCTGTCGATCCAGGATTCAGAAATGGCAGAGTAATGCAGATCGGAACAATAGCAAAAAAGCGACAGGTATAAGCATATGGAAACAACCATTCATGTTGCATAGTTCTTTGGTTACTTTCTGGTAATGGTTGAGATCAAATCAAAACACATCCAAATATTCTGACGAACCTGCACAAACGACACTTCTGGACTCGAGCTGCTCAGGAGAGTCGGCGAAGAAAAGGGCACAGGCAGGTTCACATCAATGCTTCGATTCCGGAAAAAATTCAAGCCACCCTCCCTGCTACCAACAAGCACCATTTCAGGTGCCTCGCGGATTGCTTGTTATGAATGACAAGGGCTAGATATATAGTCAACACGTGGGCCATTTTCGAGCGGACAACATGTACTCACTCGAGTCTTCTCCAGACACTAACCCAGAGCAGACCCTTTATCTTCCTTCATGCGCATCTCAAGTGTACTCCTTTTCAAACGTCCCCATGAAGATGCCCGTATCTTTTGTCGTCGTCGATGCGGTCCAGGGCCGGAGGTCGTAGGCCACTGTGCGTACATGGTCGCCAGAGATCAAAGACCAAGGAGCGCGACGCGACGCGACGCGTCAGAGAGTTTATCGAGACCTTTAGATTCAGATCATAGTGCACACGTGTGTCGTGTGTCTTGCTGAATAGGCCTCGATTAGGTTAGGAGGGTGGCACATAGATCGCGGGTGGTTTCGATGACCGTTGTCAGTACTGGGACAGGTTGCTTCGACAGACATGTTATACAGTCCAGAAAGATTTGAAGCAGAAGATGGTTCCAATTCAAGAATCTATATATTGAGATAACCCACCGAAGCCCGTATATATATCCAGCATGGGCAGCTACCGGTTGTTTTGAGGGACTGAACGAAACTAGTGGTGCCTTTGCATGTGAAACGAACCCCGCACTGAATGAAATCACATGCTTCGGAATTATTTTATTTAGCGACCATGGGGCGACTTGCATATACTGCCGATCGCCTTGGCTGTTCAGTCACTGTCCTCTTCCTCACCTCTTTTCTATCACAGCAGCATCCTTCACTTGGCTAGTACTTCATCTGAAAACAATACTTCTTGTAGACCAGTCCGCTCCCAGGACAACGAACGATGTCGACCTCTCGATCCAGCTCACGTTCAAGCTCTGCCACTGTGGCTAGTGAACCGCTCCGTACCTTACGAAACCTGTATCCACAGGCTGCTCGAGCCTTTCTGAATCGATCACCGTCGGTACCCATGTACCTCGAAAAGGCATTTGTCCTTCTCTCACCAGTCGACGAACATGATTCTGCAAGAGAAGGTGCCGCATTGGTGCAACAGAGGATCAAGTGGGATGTGCTGAGGTTGACGTGGGAAGCGAACGTATATCCTCTCACGGGAGCATCGAATGGAATCACAGTTGGAAAAGGCAAAGGCAAGGAGAAGGAGAATGGACATGCAATGTCGAATGGGAATGGGATGCCCCAACCTAATGGGGAGATGGACCTGCTTGCTCTCCCGCCTGCTGTTCTTCTTCCTGCGATCCATGCTCGATCTCTGGTTCTCTTCACACCTCCAGCACACAAGGCATCCTCGCTCCATCTTCCCTCCGAAGTCATCCTTGCGCTCACTCTCTTTGCTGTCAAGCTCGGGATGTATTCAGTGGCGCGGGACTGGGTCGAGCTGTGGTGGCTTGTTAGAGGATCAGCAGATGTCGATGACGACGACGAGATCAAAGGGAGAAGAAAGATTAGGGAATCTATGGTGCTCAGAGTCTTCCCGGGGATGAAGGACTGGGAAAGCGCACATACCTGGGCGACGGGTGAACTGGAAGGAGTTGTGCAGGAGGTGACTTGGTTTCTGTTCGTGTATGCGCATGTGCTTACTATGATTTGACAGGAACTTCTCACATCCTTGGATACACTCAAAGTACAGGCAGCTCAAGAAGAATTGACACAGTCGCGTCTTGCGGCATCTGCCTACGGTACTTCCCGCATCTCCTTACCTCCCAGCCCCGCTCCTACCTCATCCCGCGGCACGCCTGCACGTTCGCCATCACGAACTCCACCACCCCGGCCATCTTCACCAGCATCTTCCAGTTCATCCACTGCAACACACAGCACGCATACAGCAACGCCTGCTACCCCTCGGCCAGCTCGAGCCGGTCTTACGCTTACGCCAACTGGCACCGTTCGCGGATCCCTTCAGCCATCAGACACGAACACGGTGGTTCCTTTACCTTTGTCTGCTCCCCCTATCCCCCAGGCTACACCGCGGCCTCCGAATCTGTATCAGGTACTCCTGAAGCAAATGAAGCAGAGCTTCTCCTCAGTCGGTTGGTTATTCGTTGTCTTGATTCCACTCTTGGCCCTTGTGCTCCGACTTAGAGCGACTCGTACTCGAGCTCGAAGATCTGTGGCAACGGGCGGTCCGAACGTTGCTAGAGGTGCCATGCAATGGCTTTGGAAGGCGGTCGTCGATGCGGTTGACATGGCTGGGCGTGGTCTGGTGTAGCGTGGCCACGACGGTGATCAGATCACAATATTTTTGGACTTCTGACGTTCCCCTGCCGTCACCTACCTCGCTTCTGTCATTTTCTTGTATCTCTTACGCTGTGTTCCGTCTTTTTCATAGACGAGAAACCAAATGAACCTGGTTTATCCAATCTCCCGCCTTCTTTGATGTACCTGTGGAACCTGTCTATGCGTCCTTCTGATGGCTCGGATCAAACTACAAAAGCGGCCTGAATGCCGACCAGCGGCTCCAGCTTCTCTCATCCAGTATCTCCGCCTGTTGAAGTTCATCCACATGGTGCATCTCAACGGATCACGTCTATAAAGCCACGCACTCTCAATGGATTATACGCCTACGCATGCTCCACAGGCGCGACTAAATTGACGGTGATATTTGTTCCTGCTTGCGTGTCTAACAGTCTATAGATCTTCACCATTTTCGGCGGTGTTAACCGCCAACCACTTTGCTCCCATGCAGTGATACGAAATATATAAATGCATCCTCCAAAGGATGGCCTATTGCCAGTCCCTCCGAACCGCTGTCTTTCTCTCACCTCATTCGTTCGACATCAACGATGACTCGCATTCTTGCGGTGATCCTTGCAGCCTGTTTGGGCCTCCACACCGTTGCGGTTCCTGGTAAGCTACTCTTATCTCCATCAGCTTGAATCGCCTGTTGACAACTCTCTTCTTCTAGTTGCAGCTCCCGTTGCCGATATCATTGTTAGGGTCGACTCCCAGATCAATGCTCGGTGAGCAGCAGCACGCTCCATCTGACGGGAAATACTGAGTCTTTCGCGAAATATTAGTGCAGGTGCAAAGCTCCTTCCATCTGGATTGAACTCATCACGTCGCAGCTTCAGCGGGGCTCTATCAGGTGTCGAGATACAGAGAATATTATGGTGCTCGCATCAGCATATTAAACCGTTACCAAGGAGCGGAAACGCACAAGTCAGCCTTAATCACCAAATCATCTCTTGGCGGTGGTTTAGGCGGTCGCTCACCCAGCCCGTCAATAGGAGGCGCGACCGGTAACGGGTGTCGAGCCACTCCTTGACGTCCGCTGATAACCGAGCTACCCCTTGATAGTTTCTTACAGTCCAGAGCGACTATCCGTCCTTCCCGATGGAAGGAAACATGACACAGAAAGGGTACTCCATGAATCGATGGACATGTTGGCCGCGAAACTTGGATGTACAACGTCGTTCCAGAGGCATAACATAGGTGAAGGCGTCATAATACAAGTCTTGAACTGTAAGGTATCTGCGGCGTGTACTAGGCAAGCCAGCAAACGCTTCCATGTACCGAGTCCTAGAGCGGCAAGTTGATCCTGAGTGTCGAGACTGAGGTCTCCATTGCTGGTTGATGACATGGTCAGCATCTTCACTTTCCGCGTGAATGACATTCTACGCACAAATGGAAAAGTGTCATGTCCGACCACAGATTCATTTGGGAATCAATAAGCATCCAAACTGGTTCATTGTCGCTTTAACAAGGGGCCGTGCCATCTGAACGGCTCCCGTGGACTGCGGCGTTCGGCAAACACCAGAAGAACATATCCATGGTTTCCTCCCGACACAGCGTACGGGATTACATCGCAATTGCCTGTTTCTCATTGTTGATACATCAATGGTGGATTCTCTGTCTTGCTTGAGTTGATCGGAAACTCACGTTGTTTCGTCCTTGACGAGGCTGGAGGCTCAGTCAATCACAACTAAAAACAGCTTCGTTATACGGAGCAATCACACTTACAGATACCAATGGTCAGTGTGGAGGAATGGCCATAGTCGTGCAGGCGGAACTGGGGGAAGAGGCACGCATGGGCAAGACGCGCCTTGAGCTTGCACCTGTATGTCACGCGTCAAGGGTAAATTGCTTCAAAAAGTCGCGCCTAATATGTAGTCCAACCACCTGTGTGATAAAGTCATCAAGGAAGTGAGAAAGCAATGCTTGTTGAGGTCCAGAAAAGCAGCGAGGAAGCGTCATTAAGAAGAGAGTTGGCGAAGAGGGTGGTGGAGACAAGGGTGGAAGTACGTAGAACAGGGCAAAATGCTTCAACGCCTTTGTGGCGTAGCGGTAAGATGCCGCTGGGTTACTACATCGTGAACCCCCAAAGACGTTCTGGACAAGGTCCTGAGATTGAATCCCTTCTGTGGCTCTGAAACGAGATTAATCTATTGCTCTGGCAACTAAGAACTATTTTTTCATTCAATTTTGCTTCAAATTACGTTTTATGGACAAAAGAAGTACCAACGTTTTGTAATTTGATTGAAAAGATTCCAATCATAAAGAAATATTTTGCCTCATACATGCACTTTCTGTGCAGTCTTGGTGAGTGAGGAGGACTGAGACTTGTCTCGAAGCCAAATCGAGAAACTCCGGGGATCCATCTTGTCAACGCAAGTGTAGTATGCAGAGGATACCATCGTTTCAGCCCTCCTTACATAGTTACAGTAGGGATTACATTCAGAAGAGAAGAGGAAACCAAAAGTGTAATCCAATGCTACTTCCAAGGAGAGAGAAAGGCTCCACTCTGAAACTGAAATCATCTCTCCCTTAGTTTGTCACAGAGTGTATCCAAAACAAACTCATGTACGATAAATCCCGTCTTCTAGACGTCTTGATCTGAGGAATTGAGTTCAGTGAAGTTGTTGTTGATGACCGAAGAGGTTGT